TTTATAGGCTCCTCCTTCGTCTTCTGATGAAGATGAATAAATATTTGAAGTGGGCGTATTGATTGTGCTCGTACTTGTTTTTGTTCCAACATTTTTAAGAAAATCATCCATTGTCCTTGTTTTTGATTGTTGATCTTTTTCTGGAGTTGACTGAGAGGTATTTGACAGATTTGATGACTTTTGGAGTAAACTGCTTGAAATTGAAAGATGCCCATCAGAAATAATATTCTTTTTCAAAGCGTGAACATCGTCATGTAAATTGTTGTTGGGATTGACTGCCACATCCGTAGATGTTGTTGAATTTGATTTAGATTGCAAAGTTGTATTAGTATTACTTTGGTGAGATCGATCTGGGTCATGACTATGACGGGGTAACTTCTTCAAAAAGTGAATGATGTCATTATTTGAAAAGCTCTTTAAATGTTTCGCAAGAAATGACATGGACGAAGCGTTTTTCGGATTCGTATCCGAATGATGTTGGTTATCGTTTGGACTCGATGAAGAAATAGTCCGTACAGATTGTGAAGCATCCAATGACGGATTGGGTGTTGTATTGTGAGCGTCCATACTTGTCGATTGTTGTTCTTGTACTAGTGATGATGGTGGTCCTATCATTAGTGTTGATGGTGGTGACGATGATGATGATGAACTAGTTCCAACGATCGGCGCTACTCTAGAGCCAGAACTTATCTGTTGTTGCCCTGAATGATGATCCGAAACATTCATTCCTTCAGAATTGACAATGATGGATGGCGAATGTAACGCGGACACTTGGTTGGTTGTTGATGATAGGAGTTGTGGCTGTACTTGTTGTTGAGGTTGGGATGGAAGGAGAGATTCTTCCTGCTCCCCTTTAGCACTCATTTTTTTTATGATGAAATGAAATTATATCATAAGCCTCGATGATGATGATCTATTCCGGATTAGAAGGAATAATCAACCAAAAGAAGGAGGTGTTGAACAATAATTAGAAGAATCTCCTCGTACTCGCTATCCATTGTTCCCTACTTCTTCGAAAAGAGTCTCAACATGACGAGGGTTCAAACAAAACACTAAAGTTGAAGATGAAGAGAGAGAAATTTTTTTAACGATTTCAACCAAAAAAAATTCTGCAGCTTCACTCTCTCGATTGATCATCACACTCCTTGTTACTGCCCGAATCATTGATTTCTAGCTTTGGAGTGCTTACCGACGATTTGATATCAGATATATCGAACAAGTGTTTGTGTGTAGATTTTTACTACAACAACAAAAACATCATCATTCTTCCACAACAACAAGAATGAAACCCAACAAGATTAACATGTTCGGTGATGATGAAGAGGCAGATGGTGTGTATATTGAAGATGGAGAACCACAACAAACTCCCATCTCCTCATCATCATCAATGATGAATAATGCCGATATTGATGACGAAGATGATAGAGACGGAGATTTCAACCCTTTCAGCAACAACAACAATTCAGCACCCAATTCATCATCCATGCGATTACCTCCAGGAATCAAACTTCCTCCAGGTATTAAACCTTCAGGAGCCATGGGCGCACCTACTTCTCAGCAACAACTTGAAGAGAAAGCAAAGGCTTGGCTTAAATTCAACAAGAGACGATTCAAGAATTTGAGCAGCAAGGCTGCAGGTGGCGGAGGTCTCTCAAAGAATAAGAATGTCAACAAGATTGAACCTCCCGAAGTGCTTCGAGAAATTATCAAGGAACACGGAGACATGTCGAATAGAAAATTCAGACGTGATAAACGAGTGTACTTGGGTGCTTTGAAATACATTCCTCATGCTGTACTTAAACTTTTGGAAAATATGCCAATGCCTTGGGAACAAACTCGTGAAGTTGAAGTACTCTATCATGTGACCGGTGCTATCACATTTGTGAATGAAATTCCTCGTGTTATTGAACCAGTATATTTGGCTCAGTGGGCTACAATGTGGATTTTGATGAGACGAGAAAAGAAGGACAGAAAACACTTTAGAAGAATGAGATTTCCACCATTTGATGACGAAGAGGCTCCAATCGATTATGGTGGAAATATTCTAGGAGTCGAACCTCAAGACGCAATCCGAATGAATTTAGATCCAGACGAGGATGCAGCAGTCATTGATTGGTTCTATCAACATAAACCACTCATGAATGATAATAGATTTGTGAACGGATCTAGCTATAAAACGTGGAGGCTGAATCTTCCAATCATGACTACATTATATAGATTATCCGAACGATTACTCAGTGACATTGTAGATCCTAATTATTTTTATTTATTCGATAAGGAATCATTTGAAACCAGCAAAGCTCTGAATATGGCAATTCCCGGTGGACCAAAATTTGAACCTCTTTTCAGAGATGTTGAAGGAGAGGATGAAGATTGGAATGAATTTAACGACATTCACAAAATTATCATTCGACAAAAAATTAGGACCGAGTATAAGGTTGCATTTCCACATCTCTATAACGATCGTCCTAGAAATGTTGAATTGTCTCATTATCGATATCCTTTGCTTGCATTTAACAAGTCAGAGGATCCTGATGCTGATGCCTTCGAATTCCATCCTTCTCTTAACACCATACCTTCTTACAAAACGCAATTCAACTGGGAACATGACTATTTTGAATATGAGGATATTGGTGGAGAGAGCGATGTTTTCGCTCTTCCAGATGATGTGAATCCTTTACTTGAGGATGAACCTTTATGGACCCCATACACCACACAAGGTATTGATTTGTATTGGGCTCCAAGACCTTTCTGTACACGCTCAGGAAGAATGAGAAGAGCTCAAGATATTCCTCTCGTAAAGAATTGGTACAGAGAACATCCAGAGGGTGAAAATCCTGTCAAAGTTAGAGTAAGCTACCAAAAACTGTTGAAATGTTTTGTTTTGAACGAGTTGCATCATCAACCCTCCAAAGCACAAACAAAACGAAATCTCTTTAGAGCTCTTAAAAACACGAAATTCTTTAAGACGACCAAAATTGACTGGGTAGAGGCAGGTCTGCAAGTTGTACGACAAGGTTTTAACATGCTAAACTTGTTGATTCACAGAAAGAATTTGAACTATCTTCACTTGGACTATAACTTCAATTTGAAACCAATCAAAACTCTAACAACCAAGGAACGAAAGAAATCTAGATTTGGTAATGCATTCCACTTGTGCCGTGAAATTTTAAGATTAACAAAACTAGTTGTGGACTCTCATGTTCAATATAGAATGGGAAATGTGGAAGCTTATCAATTAGCTGATGGTTTACACTACATTTTCACACACGTCGGCCAACTGACAGGAATGTATCGTTACAAATATCGACTCATGAGACAGATTAGAATGTGTAAAGATTTGAAACATTTGATTTATTACAGATTTAACGCTGGAGCTGTAGGAAAAGGTCCTGGTTGTGGATTTTGGGCTCCAGCATGGAGAGTATGGCTATTCTTCTTGCGTGGTATCGTACCATTACTTGAAAGATGGCTTGGAAACTTGCTTGCCAAACAATTCGAAGGTAGACAAAATAAGGGTACTGCCAAATCTGTTACAAAACAACGTGTAGAAAGTCACTTTGACTTGGAATTGAGAGCTGCCGTACTTCACGATATTTTGGATATGATGCCTGAGGGTATCAGAGAAAATAAGGCCAGAGTTGTTTTGCAACACTTGAGCGAGGCTTGGCGTTGTTGGAAGGCAAACATTCCTTGGAA